ATCCTCATCCTCATCCCCATCCCCAGAGTATGAAATATTTGGATGCCAACCATCTTCGCCATGTGGGAATAATATGGGATATTGCAAAACCATTAAACTTGGGTGATATATACTGATTTGTTCCAGTTCATGACTTTGATACTCGACAACAATATCAGGAGAAAATATTTGCTCCCCGGTATCATCAACAATTAAAGTAGGGACCTCATTTGCTGATGACAAATCATATTCTCTACCATCCCCTTCTCTTTTCGCAAGCAACTTTATTTCAACTTGTTGAACAGTAGTGTCATTCAATCTATCCCTTGCATATCGAAATGTCTTTACCAAGATATTACTTGATTTTAGCATCTCCTGTAATTGTTGGATAACTGAATAGCGCAAAGGATTTGAATCGGGATATGTGGAGAAAAAGTCTAACATGTTTTGGTGTTTATTGGCAGTATCATAGATGTAGAGTTGAGCAAATTTGGGTATGTTCCTTTGAGTAGGTATCAGGTTGTCGATTCGATGATAAACTTGACCTCCAATCGAGCATATACTCCGCGTCCATCATTTATAGATCGCTCCAGTTTACCTCCAATAGAAGTGAATGCTAAGACCCCATTATATCCTTGGATATGTTCCAAAAAGTGACGTATCATTGGAGTGTTTGCTTGCAATAGCATATTCATAACCTTTGGAGGTTGTCTTCGAGGAGGGAGCTTCACTTTACCTTGTCTGCAATACAACGAAAACTTTGGTTGATTGAAATTACTCGTGGGTTTGGTACTTTCGCCCTTCCACATCATCGCTCCACAATATGCACATTTATATGATGGTTTTCCAATATCGAACACTTCAACAACTACAATAAAATTAGAACTCCAATATAAGAAATAATTTTGGTGACAAACTTTGGCATTGTAATAAATGAAGGAAATGAAATAACCAAAATATCAATAAACCTGGAAAGTCATCAGAACGCATCACTCAAAGATGATTAAAATGATTTTTCGGCAAGTTTATGGACCCCAACAATCTATTTCTCTTAGATTGTAAGTTATTCATTTCGTTTTGCAGTCCTATATAGGAATTAGTAACATAAGCAATCCTAGTGGCTAACACATAATTTGATAACATATAAATAAAAAACAAACACAAAACAAATAGATTATCAGTAGGAATGTTCACGATTTTTCCATATAAACGCTTCGACCTTATATAAATAACACGTTTCCTTCTTGCTAATTTGGTCAATGGTTGATTAATTCTCTCCAATTCTAATTTATGTGCATCAATCTCTAAAATGTAATTGGAGAGTAATGATTTTGTAAGTTCAACCAGCATGAAATAGTTAGAGAGATTATAACAACTGATAATTAATCGATATTTCATTACGGGAAAAAATATTTCAATGATATTAATACCATCGTTTTTTTTTTTGCACTTCAGATAGAGACTAATTAGAATCCACTACACATTTCAGTAGTACAAAACAACTCTCTTTTTCCATGAATAACACGTGAAATGGACACATATTAAATTGCAAATCTATATAATTATGCTAATAACAATATTTGTATTTACATTCAATTTTTAATGGCCGAATTGAATCATTATTTGAATCTTTAGACGACTCTCCACGGGGAATGCTTCTTCTTCGGGGCATAGAACTTTAAAAAAGAAGCCGCAAATAAAATTAAGTCTTAATAATATAGGCCAAATAGTTGATGGTGAAAGACTTATAATGATGGAAAACTAAATATGATACCTGAAAGAATGAAATTTTGCCAAGAAGAGTGGACTGGTTGGAGTCGTCGCTCCCTGAGAAGTTAGCAGTATTAATGGAGAAAGGGTCCAACAAACATACTAATGATTCCGATGTTTGTGACACTAATTATCAATGGGCTGCTCAGGATTTGAAAGACATGTTTGGAGTTTAAGGATAATCAAATATCATGTGTCTCTTGTAGTAGTATTACTCTTGTGATTGTTTTTTGATGATTTGTGCAATTTGTATTTCATTTCATTAGCACGGGAGGATGAGAATATGTTAATTGACATGTGTTAGGTAAATTATTGCCATTAAAAGAATCCAAATTACGAATGTGCTTCTAGCATTTAAAATACGAACATCATAGTATTCTAGGACATCCTAACCGACTCATCGAACATAATTAATTTGCGAAAAATAAACAACAAACCCTTTAGCATGTAACCGAATTCTAAAATTGTTATCAATAAGCCTTATCTTTACTCATCGTCAGTGTCGTGCTCGCCCTCATCCTTCCTTTGAGGTGCTTCCATGCTTTTCACCGGTGGATTTGGTCCATCGTCGTCACTGTTATCACAAAAAAAGATTGATAATTACTCCCGTTTTGGTTTGCTCGACATCAAACTCATAACACGCAGGCAAATATGGTGAGTAAATGTTTTAGATCTTTACATTGGCCCAAAATTAATTACTTCTGAAATTCTTGGATTCACTAGTAGTAAGGTCGCTCATGAAGAGGTGAAATTAATTTTACCTGTAAATTTAGCCATTGTTTGATTGAATGTCAGTTAGTTAGTGTCAATGTTTGATAATGAAAATAAGGTAATTAAGTTGCCGCTTTACCTTCGTATGGAACGATGCATAAGAAAGTAATAACCAGGATGAGAGGTTGGTTCCCGCATTTTCAAGGATTGAATTTAGTTGGGGGACTATCCTACCAAAGAGAATGACTTTGACAACCAATCCACTATATTCAAATTGTATATTAGAGTTGCGATTAGAGTTAATAAAATTCATGATATTGTAAATTAAGAATAAAACTTATCTTCTGCAGTTAGGAAGACTAATAAATGAGCATGAGGTAAACCAAGTTTTTGAAACTCAATTGCCATCACATCTGCAAATGAAAGAAATTATAATCAAAATAGGGAAATAATAGTCCATGAATAATTCATAAATTCAAGATACTTAAAGTAAAACTATTAAATATAACTTACATGCAAATGTTTTCCCGAAAAAATGTTCTTCTCCAAGATCTAATTCAGTAATTGATGTAGCTTAAGCTTGAAAACACTTGCGATGACATCAGCTCTATTAGGATCTTTCCTTGTAGTAGTCCTTATCAAATCAAGCATGTACTAAATCTCATGCCAAGCAGGATTACATGTAAATGTAATGAAAAGATCTGGATATCCTGCCTATCTAAAAATCGCCATAGCACTTGGAAACTTTCATACTTATATTGAGGACTACCTGTATGTGATGAAGCTAAAATCACCTGCTACTCACTGAAACTGGTATCTGAATCACCTCTCAAGTACATCAAGTTGACTGATTTTGGGTTAAATATTGACCCAACCCATTCGGATTCGGGTCAGGTTACAGGTCGTTTTGGGTTATGAACGCTCTCAGAAACAATATCAAACATGCTTTATATTTTTTAGAAAAACATAAATCTTTACATATGCATGGCAATAATTTACCTAACACATGTATGTGCCGAGCTTGAATTATGCAAAAACAATGATGTACTTGAATTATTTGTTTATTATCAACAATTCGAGAATGAAACAAAACAATGAAGATGAGTAATTATATATATAGGTATCAAATAAAACAAATAATGATTCTGTATCCTTTGTGGAACTGGAAATAAGGAAGCAAGCTTTTGTACCACAATGGGCCACTCCGCTCATGCTCCTGCTTTAATATATAGGCCAAAATAAATCCAATATTGCACAGATAAATTTACCCAAAACTCCTTCCGTGGATTGCTCAGAGAGCAGGAAAAGATGAATTAGGTGGGTTCTGTCCAAGAACCTCTATATAGTATTGTTAGGATTTTATTATGTTTGCTCAATTTTCGTGACGATTTTTAATATATATAGATAGATAGATAGCTTACATTTTATTGGGGGATATTCATCAAATCAGTATCATGTAGTGAACAAGGAAAAATCATGTAGCGATTACAAATGGGTGTTTGAATGAGCATATATTATATATGGATGACTACACACTAAGTTGGCAAAAAACATTTGTTCATAGCCAAGCTTGTTTGGAGAATATCCCAGAGAATCATATACATGGTTCAATGACGTAGCATATAGGATCGGTTATACAAATGATATGAAAACCAAACAGTAAAAAGTGCGTTAGACTAGCCAAATAGTCTGCACATTTGTTATTTGTTACCCTCCCCATAAATTTGGGAGACAAAAAGAAGGTATATATCTTTTATAAAAAAAGGTATATATCACTACTTGGGTGTGCGTGCTAGAGGTTGAAGTCGTTCGTTTTGTTTTCAGTCGTTCCGTGAGCAATCTGTATTTTTTCTTAATTTATTGTCGGTAATGCGAGATACCTTGAATCAAAACAACCTCCTACTCCCTATGAAGCAACTCCTTGAAACGATGTATAACTAGGACTGGCCATGTGGGCGGATCACCCCTGGGTTTGGGTGGATCCACCCGCATTTGACCCGAATTTTGTTGTGTGGGTGGGTGACGGGTTGCGCTGAGAGCCATCCGTCGGGTGGCGGGTGGTTTGTCGCCGGGTGCGTGGGTGACCCGCTCAACCCAACAGCATAAAGAGAAAATTCGTTGGCGCTGGAGAGTGGAGATGTTAGATGGAAACTAGAGCTGCTTATGGAGATTGAATCTCAAAGCCAATCTTCCAAATTGCGATCCCTCTTCTTCCCTTTATTTTTTCTTTTGAGTCTTGTGCCTAGATCACCTCTATTTCCTCCATTGATTTATTTCTTTAGTTCCCTGCACCTGATAATCATCTCCATCCGTGAAAAAACTCCTCCATAATAGAATTTTTATTCAATTTCAGAACTAATTTTGTATTTTTTTCTTCCTATTCCGTCTTCTTGTTTCCCCTGATTGTTCTCTACACCGATTATATATATCATGTCAAGTTGACACTTTTATATTGTGTACATATTTCTTCTATTTTGACTTTTCTTCAACTAGTTAGAGCTGATATTTCAACTTGTTAAACTCAATTACACATTCTATTATAACTATTTTTCATTCATAAAGTGTTTCCCCATTCGTTTTTATCGTAAAAAGTACAATTAGCGTGTATTCGTTTCAAATAACATGTAAAGAGTGAGTCAACCAGCCCCGCTCAGCTAACCACGCGGGTTTTACCCACCCCAACTCACAGAAGCATGGAACAAGGCATAGATATCGAGGTACCCGCCCCAACTCATCTCGATCACTAAATAATAAATAATAATCAGAGACAAAAACTTTCTTTCTCGATTAAGTATAGAGATGTGGGACCAAAATCATCTCTCTAAGTCTGCAATTATCTACTATAATCTCCTTTTTTTCTCTCAATTATTCCAAACATCGGGAAAAAAAAAATCAGAACATAACAGAAAACACGATAACCAGAATATACTATCAGAAAACATCCATGATCACTTGAGCTGCACCCAGACGGCTTCCGTGGGGAGCATATTGTGAACGACGCTGAGCATGAAGTAACCCTCCGGCGCCACCGCGCTGCTCGGCGGCGCCATGCACGTCACGTCGTACCTCCCTTCGCCAACGTTAACGGCGTCCTTCACCAGCAGCTTCACCAGCCGCTGGTTCATCGCCACGCCGTGGGTCGTGAACGCCGGGACGTACATGGTCACCTTGAAGTTCTTCAGGAACACCTTCTTCTCGTTCAGCTCGATCTTGATGGTGACCTGCTGGCCGTACGTCATCGTCTTGGGGCACCCGCCGTCGACGATCTTGGGCTTCTTGTCGGCCCGCGACGGGGAGAAGTAGGGAGGGGAGAATTTCTCGACGCGGAGCTCGGTCGGGTACATGGCGTCGTAGATGTATCCGTTGTTGGTGTTGCTGCCGGCGATCAGGACTTTGCCCTCGGGAAGGACGACGGCGGTGGAGTGGTACATCCTCGGGATGGTGGTCGGGGCTAGCTCTCTGAAGAGGTGGGCTTTGTCCGGCGATTTGTAGTTGAAGAGGACCGGTGTTAGGTTCGGGTCGCGGGCGAATCCCCAACCGGATGCGCCTCTTTGTGCGCCGTTCACGATGAGGACTTCGCCCGTCGGGAGGATCACCTGTTGTTGATATATAATAAGAGAATCATCAATCGTCAGAGTAGGGTAAAAAGGAAAGAAATGGTTTGATTGTTTGAAACTAAAAGGTTTTATTCGTTAATATGGTATTAGAGCTTTCGACCATCAGCAGGTTGAGGTGTTCGAAGTTTCGAATGTTTATTCTCAAATATAAATAATGGTTTGGCAAAAGAGATGATCGATCTCCAACCTGCGCACAAACAAACTGAAAGCTCATAATTACAGGTTTCGTTTTGGGACCGAATGGTTTTGTTTGTTGACATGGTATTAGAGCAGCATTCGACCGTAAGGTTTTGGTGTTTCAACCTTTTGGATATCCTTGCACTCCATTATATAAACAATGACCAATACTGCAACATGGATTATGTTCAATCTGCACAAACTGAAAGCCCACGAGTAGGTTTTCGTTTGCGACTAAATTATTTGTTCGTTAAAATGATATCGGAGCTTCGATCGTGAGGTTTGGAGTACGAAACTTCGAATCCTTACGACGACACCCCAATATTATATAAATAATGTTTAAGCAAAATGGATGATGAATAACCCAAGCTGAAAGTCTGGACTTTCGTTTGAGTGCGTGTAAAAGGGGGGGGGGGGGGGAAAGGAACCTTATATAAAATTCATAAAAAACCTCTTTTTAGGAGTGATATAGGTTTGTTTTTAGTTATGTAAATACTCAAAAAATTCAAACTTGCGATCTTCAGATTCAAGACCGGTGATTTTATCACCGGACCAAACGCTTATTCGTCGCGAAACTCTGAATTCTGATGAGTGACGACCCCCAATTATAAATAATGGTTCAGCAAAAAAATTGTTCAACCTGTACAAAACTGAAAGTCTGAACTTTGTTTGAGTGTGTGAAAAAAAAGAGAATCGCATATAAAACTCATATAACACTCTTTTTTTCCAACAACTCAAGTTATCCTGACTCTGGTAAGATAAATTAGAGAGAGTTGAAGGATTATTACCATGTCCCCCATGACCCTAGAGGTAGGCATGAGCTCCCTTCTCCAGTTGGGATTGGGCCTGGTGATCTTCAGCCTGCCGCAATCCTGAAGCGCCTCGTAGAACATGTTCTTGGAAGCGAGCGTGTACGAATCAATGTGGGCAGATCCGCCGCAGACCAGCACCTCGGCGTCGGGGACCTCGTTGGGATCCTCGGTCTTCACCTCGAGCGGCAGGAGCACCGCCATCCCGCTGGCCGGGTAGTTGCGGTGGCCGCCGGGGAGCACGGGGAACTCCTTGACCACGGCGTTGGTGTTAGGGTTGAGGAGGACCGACCGGTTGTTGGCGAAGACGAAGACGTTCTTGTCCGGTGACAGGAAGACGAAAGGGTAGAGGTTGTTCTCGTCGGGGTCGGTGGTTTGCTGGAGGAAGTCGAAGAAGAAGGGCTTGGTGTTGGATGTTCCTTCCTGTTGTGGGATGTACTCGAAGCTCTGGGCGGCCCGGCCGCCGATGACGATCATCCGGCCGTCGGCGAGCTGGGCCTGGGTGGAGTACCAGCGCGGGGCGGCGAGGGCGGAAGGGTATTCTCTCCACACGCTCTTGGGGCAGTTGTCGAGGTGTCGGACCGTGTTGGCGCCGCCTTGGAACCCGCCGGTGCTGATCAGGTTTCCGTCCACCGTCAGCCCTCCCGACGAGCACCACGTGTCGGTGTGGAGCTGCATTGAATGCCATGCAAACAGTTCGTAAGTCCACACATATAGGTGGCAATGACACCTAAAGAGCCACAACACCTAATTTTTACCTAGGGGTGGCAGTTCGGTTATTTCGGTTATAACCGATAACCGATTGGCCGGTTATCAGTTAACCGAACTAAACACCTCCCTTACCGAAAACCGACCGAAATAGGCTTCGGTTTCTCGGTTACCTTGGTTATCGGTTAACCAAACCACTTTTAAGACCAAAAACCATTTTGGCCAGCTTCCGATAACCGAACGAAGTTCGGTTACTTCGGTTACCGGTTAGTGGATAACCGGCCGGTTATCGGTTTAACCGGTCGGTTAATCGATAACCGGTAACCGAACTGCCACCCCTATTTTTACCTATTGTTAGGGTTTATTTCAAAGGATTGAAAAACGCGGCGGAGGTTGTACCAGAAAAGTCGGCGGTAGAGTATTTCATGCTGAAACTGTTACATAATCGTGGTTCAACCATTTCATACCGCTAAATACCACTTATCGATTTTGCTTCCAGCATTAGGTTTTTTTCCTGGTAGAACCAACGATATAATTTCTTTGGTGTTTATTCACGTAATGACGATAATATGTTTATTTCGCGCAACCTGGAGTATATTCATGTTATTGTAAAATACAATTTCAAAATTTTGAACCATAACAAAATGTTAATTATTACCTCGAGGGGGATGAGGTCAGCATTCTTGAGGTTGAGCAGAACGGAATGCGCATAGCAATCCTTCTCCCCCGTGGTCTCGTTCAGAACCCGGCACTGGCCGTTGGGGAGTAGGATCTTGGAGATCCGCCAGATGGTGGCGTCGTACATGAGCACGTGGTCGCAGTTTGGGAGCACGATGGCGTGCATCGCGCACACTCCCGAGTTGTCGGTGAACAGCTCGAACTTACCCAGGAAGTCGTCCACCGGCGGGGAGATCACGGGGGCGGCGGCGGGGCCGCCGACGAACTCGTGGAGGTCGGCGGCCTGGAACTGTGGGGTCCCGATGTCGTTGGGGAGCTTGTCGCCCTTGAAGTCGTCCGGGTTGCCGAACGGGTTCCCGAACTTCTCGTGTGGGCCCAACACTTTGTCCTTGTTCAGCGCTTTGTACAGGTTGGCCGGGTCAAGCCCGTCCGGGCCGGGCGCGGTCGGGCCGGGCGTGTCTTGGGCGGACACCACCGCGACGGAAAGGAGGAAGAGGAGGAGGCGTGGTGGGAAGAGTGGCTTCATTATTATTACTGTTAGATATTTATTTGTTAGTGATTGATGATTTACTGTGTTTCCTTTTTCACTGTTTTTTTTCTCCCCCTTATATAAGGCTTTTACCACCCAGCGGGTAATTTCCTCCTAAAGATAGATTGACTATTTTTGTTTTCATTTTTTTCCTTGGTATTTTAGCTATTTTTTTTAGGAAAATAGCAGTTTTAGATCCGATTAATTTAATTTTTGTTGACAATTATTTGCTAATTAACAGGATATGTAAATTGCCCATTTTTACTGCCTGCCAACGGTCACTAGCTATAACAACGTTGTCGAAGTTCCCAACGACGGCGCGGTTAGGGTTTGAGTGTTAGTTCTTCCCACCAAAATAAGACAAGTGGCTATGTCCAGTAAAAGCTAACTAACACTAAACAAAATGACATTGTTCTTGTCCAGTTCCTTCATTGCTTTTGACTCAGAACGACAATGTCCCTAGAGCTCTTCTAGTGCTAGTAGTGACTTGATCCTCCACGACTGCAATTTCATCCTTGAATACATTTTGATACCCTCGTGAAACACTGGATGTATTCAAGGATGGATAGAAGGAATTGAAGTCGATACATGTTGAATCCTTTGGTGAACATGTCTGCTATCTGGTTTTCTGTTTCCAAATTACTCAGATTGATAAGATTCGACTGGAGGAATTGTCGAACCACATGACAATCGATCTTTATGTGTTTTGTTATCTCGTGAAACACTGGATATTCTGCATTTTACGCCGCAGAATGAATCAGGTAAAGAAGAATCTGGTGAAAATTGGCCAGGTTCTGAAACTGGAGAACTTGGAACAAGTTCAGGTGGAATGGAGGTAATGTAAGAAATGGAGGAATAGGATTGGTTGCAGGAAGAATGTCAGAAGAAGGAATGAAGCAGGTATGATGTGTTCACAGAATATCACATCTCGAGAAAAGAACACCTTATGATATCCAAGTCAAGTAACTTGCAACCTTTGATGCCTGGAGGAAAGCCAAAGAAGATGAATTTGCATGCTCTAGGAAAGAACTTGATTCTGTTATGTCCAAGGGTACTAGCATAGCATAAACATCCAAAGACACGTAAATGGGATAGATTAGGGGTTTTGCCATACAAGACTTTATAGGGAGTTTTATTTTTCAGGGTTGTGGTATGTAATATGTTAATCAGGTAAATAGAATGAAAAATGAAATCAAATCAGAATTTGAGAGGGAGTCCATATTGAAATTTTAAAGCTCGAGCCACATGTAGAATATAATGATGTTTTCTTTCTACACAAGCATTATGTTGTGGTGTTCAACACACGACATTTGATGAATAATGCCATGTTGAGAAAAGAAATCTGGTGTATGAAATTTTGATCCTTGATCAGACTTGATTGTCTTGATAGATTTTTTGTATTGGTTTTTAATCATGACAAAGAAATCCTGTAGGGGTCGTTTGGATAAGGGATTGTAACGAGAGATTTGTGAGGGATTTTAAAACAATCCCTCATTCTGCAGGATTTTAAAACAATCACTCGTTTGGTAAAGATGAGAGTTTTTACAATTAGGAATTTTAAAAACTCTCAAATGTGGGTTTCTGAAATAGCTGATGGGGATCAGCTATTCCTAAATTCCTCGTTCTTGTTTTATTTTTTCCAAAAGCTACCCTCCCCCATTACTTCATTTCTTCGTTAACCTTCTACCTTCTTCTCCAATCACTGCACTGCCTCCAATGTGCCGCCAGTCCTGAACACAACCGTCGATGTGGCTTCTCCGGAGAAGCTTCCAGGTTTTCCCGGAGACGAAGAAGGGAGAGGAGGAAGGAGAGAAAGTCACCGAGGATGAAGATTCGAGCGGGACAGTCGTCGAGAGGAAGATTGGATCTCTGTGATCAAATTCACTCCTTCCCGTCGACGTATTGGGCTAGTTCTCCACCAGAAGCAAGTCGTCGTCTTCTTCTCCCTCTCCTCCGATTGACGACGATTCCTGGTCGAAGGCCGTCGATTGAGACGTTTCTTTGGCGATGGATGATGCTTCTGGGCTTGTTGAAGTATGGCGCATCATCTTCCTCTCCTCCCGATTGTCGGCGATTTCCACGCGAAGGCCATCGATTGAGATGTTTCTGGGCTAGGCAACTGACGACGCTTCTGGTCTTGATGAAGCAAGCTGCCACCATTGTTTTCTTCTCCCTCTCCACTCGGCGTGAAGAGGAATCCTTGAATCAAGTCGCCGTCGTCGTTTGTGAATAGCTAAAGGGAAGACAGAAACATACAACGTAGAAGGAGATGTCGAGATAGGTATGGTCTTAGGAGTTTGGGTAAACGGGGCACATCAGAATGAATGTTAGATTTGGAGGCAACGACGGCGAGATGTTCTGGGTTAACAGATGAGAGCAAGGGGGAAGGAGATAGGTTAAAGATAAGGGTAATATTGTAATTTGATTTTTCTTATTAAAATCCTTTGTTTATATCCAAACAAGTGATTTATTAAAATTCCTCATATTAAAAACCTAGGTTTTTAAACTGTGGGATTGTGGACAAAAACCTGGGTTTTAGAAAACCCTTATCCAAACGACCCCGTAGGAGTTTTCTAGTTCACTTTTGAATTTCATCAAATAGGCCCAAACACATATGGACTTGTCATCAACAATAGTAAGAAAATACTAAAAACTATTGTAACTTGAGGTAGCTAAAGGACCCTATATGTCAATATGGACAATATCAAAGACATCAGTAGCAACAGACTGACTAGAAAGAAAGGGAAGATGGTTTTGTTTGGCTAGATTACATATTTCACAATGATATATAAGATCTGAATCTATGCTAGGTACAACTTTTTGTATTTCCTTTGTTTTGTGACGTGAAGGATGTCCAAGTATCCAGTGCCAAAGATCAAAGGTATGAGGTGTGTAGTTATAATTCTTGAGGGAATTGACATGTATAGAAGGATCTTCTGTGGGTTTGGTGTAAGTTGATAAAGTCCTCTAGTCTATTGGGAAAAACCAATCTTCCTCATGGTGAGTAGGTCATGGATATGACAAATATTTGATTGGAATGTGAGTGAAACAGGTAAAGACTTAGTGAGTTTACTAACTGACACCGAGTTAAAGGAGAAGGCTCGAACTAACAACACTTCTTGAATTTCAAAACTAGAAACCAAAGAAACATATCCAGAATGAGTGGCATGGGTTTTGGAACCATTTGGGGAAGTGATGTAAGTGATTTGAATGAGTTTATAACTAGTAAAACAAAATAGAGAGCATGCAACATGGTCTATAACACCAGCGTCCAGATACCAAACACTGACAAACTCATTCATTGGTTGCATAGTCAAGTATGTTGATAAGGTATATTTACCTGCAAAGTTTGGATTCACTAACATATATCTCACCACTGAATTGACCACTAGATGATTCTGTGAGGAAGATGGTGGATTCATGTTCTATCCAGGTGACACCGGTGAAGTGGGTGACTGTGGTGGACTGATTTGGCACAGTAGTTTTTCAAGTCTACCCATATCATTCATAGACAACATTATGTTAGTGAATCCATCTCCATTGTTCTCGGACAAATGCTTAGAATTAGGTCGTGGTAGAATACCATCACCCATATATGTTCCTTGGATTTGACCAACAAAGCTAGAAGAGGGTTCTAACTCTTTGTTCTTCCTCTTCAGCTTAAAACAATCTGCTATAACATGATTTTTCTTCTTGCAATATCTGCATAAAATGTTACCCTTTGGTACCTCTTTACATGTGCCCTGACCAGTTGCAAGTAATGCTACAGAATCCACTACTTGTGCTTCTTGGTTAGGTTTGATCAGTTGCCTTTCATGTTGGACAACCTAGTGAAAAGCAATCTCCATTGATGGTAAGGGATTCACCATGAACAAGTAATAAACCTAGTTATAAATTCATAAGCATCATTCAAACCAGTAATAAACCTAGTTACAAATTCATTTTCTCTATACTTCCTAACAGTAACTTCAGTTATACAAGCATCATGTCTACCTCCTAAACCACCACGCGTACAACTCAAAATAGGCAAGAATTGAACCAATTATTCCCAACATGCTTTCAATTAAGTATAGTATTGATTGGCTGACTTGTTACCTTGCTTAAGAGTATAGACTACAGTCTAAAGATCACTAACTCAAATATTGTCAACCGGCCCAAATCTCTGGCCTAGATCTTTTCTAGAGTAGTCGTGCATTGTCTTTGGAAGAAACGCTATCCACCAAGTTTGGGTCAAGAGATCCAAGAATCATGAAGCAAACAACAGTATTGCTATGTTACTAAGTTGGGTAGTGGTCAGTGGTCAGTGCTCACTGGTTAGATCTGGAGCTGGTAGAGAGGAACTTACCCTCTTATCGAATAAACATGCATCGTGCAAACAAAATATAGTGAGGTGAAAATTCGATCGGAATAGATTTATTACAAATTCATGTCACGTACAACTTTGATCATACTCACATCTGAGGAGTAAAGCTCAGCAAGCCATTAACAAAAACAAAATAAACAAAATAAACAAATTGAATAATAATTAAAACGAATACGACGTCGAATCAATTCTTGAGCTGAACCCAAACCGCCGCGCTGGGGAGGCGCAGTTTGTAATAAACCACGCTCAACAAGAAGTACCCCTCCGGCGCCACGGCGGTGCTCGGCGGCGCGTTGCACGTCACGTCGTACCTCCCTTCCCCGACCTTGACGGAGTCCTTCACAAACAGCTTGATCAGCCTCTGGTTCATCGCCACGCCGTGGGTCGTGAACGCCGGGACGTACATGGTCACCTGGAAGTTCTTCGTCGACACCTTGTTCTCGTTGAGCTCGACCTTCACGGTGAACTCCTGGCCGTACTTCAGCTCCTTGGGGCACCCGCCGTCGACGATCTTGGGCTTCTTGTCGGCCCGCGACGGGTCGAAGTAGGGAGGGGAGAACTTCTCGACGCGGAGCTCCGTGGGGAACATGGCGTCGTAGATGTACCCGTTGTTGGTGTTGCTGCCGGCGACGAGGACGCGGTTGTCCGGGAGGACGACGGAGGTGGAGTGGTACATCCTCGGGATGGTGGTCGGGTTCAGCTCTTTGAAGAGGTGGGACTTGTCGACCGCCTTGTAGTCGAACAGGACCGGGGTCAGGTTCGGTTCCCGGGCGAACCCCCACCCGGAGGCGCCCCGGATCGCTCCGTTGATCATCAGGACCGCCCCCGTCGGGAGCAGCAGCTGTACGATGATGAAAACCGGTTAAACCACAATTTAAGCAAGGCTATATATATAAGTCTGGTTTCTAGATATTCGTTGATTGATCAGGTTCACGGATTCTGAAATGGTCGTCGTGCAACTGGATTCATTTGTCTACTAGGCCGTCGACTTATGGACTTGTCATCTTTTGACCTTTGTAAAAATCGAGTCAATTCAGGGTAGGTCACTTTTTTGACTCTACAGCTCGTAACAACAATCAGTGATACAGAATTCTATCATATTGACACATGGAAATTATTTGTAAAGTTTAGGTACTATAATGAAAGGTAGAAAATACAAAAGTACTAAAAATAATTTGACCACCAAAATTCCTGAACCTTTTTGTAAAAAATACAGTTTAGATATTAAATTATAAGAAAATAATAAGTTTTGGATTTCAAATTCTAATTTTTTTTTAAAAAATAGCTCGGCCCAGTTTTACCTGTACAAGTCAAACAACTGGGCCATAGCCAAGACGGGTCAAGTTGGATATGACACAATTTCACCTCCTAGATTCAATCATATTTTAATCCTATCATTGATTATCCGGTACGACTTTCTGTACGGTTTTCACGATTGGAAGTAGAAAAAAAAAAAACAAAGGGTTATAGTTTGTGAGAGATAATTACCATATCACCCATGATCCTAGCAGTAGGCATGAGCTCCCTCCTCCAATTGGGCCTGGGCTTGGTAATCTGCAGCCGTCCGCAATCCTGAAGGGCCTCATAGAACATATCCTTCGAAGCCAACGTATACGAATCAATATGGGCCGACCCACCACAAACCAGCACCTCCGCGTCCACCACCGCATTGGGCTCGGGCGACTTCACCTCAAGCGGCAACAGCACCGCCATCCCGCTGGCCGGGTAATTACGGTGCCCGCCGGGGAGCACGGGGAACTCCTTCACCACCGTGTTGGTGTCCGGATTCAGGAGCACCGAGCGGTTGTTGGCGAAGACGAAGACGTTCTTGTCCGGGGAGAGGAAGACGAAAGGGTAGAGGTTGTTCTCGTCCGGGTCGGTGGTCTGCTTGAGGAAGTCGAAGAAGAAAGGCTTGGCGTTGGACTTGCCTTCCTGCGGGATGTACTCGAAGCTCGGGGCGGCTCGGCCGCCGATGACGATCATCCTGCCGTCGGCGAGCTGGGCCTGGGTGGAGTACCACCGCGGCGCGGAGAGGGCGCTCGGGTACTCGCGCCAATTGCACGTGGGGCACATGTCGAGGTACCGGACCGTGTTGGCGCCGCCTTGGAACCCGCCGGTGCTGATCAGGTTGCCGTCGACGAGGAGGCCTCCCGACGAGCACCACGTGTCGGTTTTGAGCTGGCCAGAAAAAGGGAAATATATATATAGTATTAGTTTGATCATGATAATAAACGTTCCAAATTGTTGCTGAATTAATCGGATTACTACTAGGGTTATTCAATAGAATAATTTACCCTAAATAGAAAAAAGGGGATATTTTTCGGTTAATGTAAGAATCATATCAGATCAGAAAATCGGATCAGTAGAACTATCAAACTCGTCGTCATAATTAAGGGTGGATCCATTTTTTCAGATGTGATGGACATTTTTTGGATGGACGAGTCACTCTGATTTGATTGGTCCACTCACTCATTTTTTTTTTTAAAAATGCAAGGAGAAAAAAAAGACTATAATATGAACCGCGCGATCATCCAACTCTAATAATTACTATAATTTTTTCCTTCTCCTCCATCCATCTTCCTAATTTTCTTTATCGCGGTTTTGTGAGCCAACTAGAGCGATTCGTTATAACTTTTGGTGATCAACGATATATAAATCTGGAAATGAATATGGTTAGAGTGACAAATTCAGTACGTAATTATAATTCGACGATTCTGTAACGATTTAGCCGCGCGTATTGAATTAGAAACCACTAAATTTTGTTTTGTTGGTGTATACGTTACCTCGAGGGGGAATAGCTTAGCGGTGTTGATATCCATCAGAACGGAATGCGCCCAGCAATCCTTCTCGCCGGTGGCCTCGTTGAGGATCCGGCACTGCCCGTTGGGGAGGAGGATCTTGGAGATCCGCCAGATCGTGGCGTCGTACATCAGAACCTTGTCGACGTTGGGGATGAGGATCATGTGCATCGCCGACACGCCGGAGTTGTCGGTGAAGAGCTCCCACTTCCCCTTCCACTCGTCGACGGGGAGCGGCGGCCGGGCCTCCTCCTCCTCCTTGTGCAGCGTCCCCGTGGACTTCTCGACGAAGTCGGACAGGTCGGAGCTGACGAACTCCGGCGTGCCGATGTCGTTGGGGAGCTGCTTCTTGAAGTCGTCCGGGTTGCCGAACGTGTCGCCGAACTTCTCTTTCGGGCCCAGCTCCTCGAAGAGGCTGGCCGGCGGGTCGGCGGACCCGTCGGGGGACGGGGCGGGCTGGGAGGAGACGGCGGTGGCGAGGAGGAGGAGGAGGAGACATAGCGACGGTGGCTTCATGTTTGTTTTGATTTTTTGTGACGGTGGATGTTTAACGGTGAAAGGTGTTGTTGTGTGACTGGAGAGGAATGGGATTTTGGTTTTATATATAGTAGTGGGAGTGTACCAAAAATAGAGAGTGAAAGTAAAAAAAAAAAAAAATTATTTACTACTGGTACTTGTTTTTTTGGTCATACTGAGTGGTTGTGGAATTTTCCTTTTGTAAAAAATAATTAATTAATATTATTCAGCCGAGTTTTACTGGATCCGCAATTTTTGCGTCGGGAGAGTGAGATGCGAACGGTGAATTGACTTGTTAGCTTGAAGCTCGGATGTTTAGGAAGGATTCAAATATCAATTTGCATTTAATCGTGTTGCTCATTTTCTATCATTTCGTCACTTTTGTAGAAACAAAATAACGTCGTTAGTACTTACGAAATGTGGAGGGTGAAAACATTGAGAAGATTTTGATTACCATAATCTTCTTGATTTAGGATTTCATATCAGTGATATTTATTTACAATAGTTTTCAATCTACCATTTCCGTCACTACATGAATGTTCATTTTTGCGACCAAAAGAAATAGCTACGGCCTACGAAGAGAGAAATGTTCACAAATATTTCTCTATTGTGACGGGGAAATGTCACAAAGGCTGAAACATTGGTGACTAAAACATACGTGAAAACTCGTCCGGATCGTTTCCCGGATTCGGGTTCGTATTGGTCTCAATATGAACTCGAGGGCAAACCAGTTTGTGCGTCCAGCTTTAGTGACAATTTTAGATTGTCATAAAATTATGGCTACCAGTTTTTTGGTCACTAATGCCAACCATCATTGATGTAACCATATGTGGTTACGAAAGTATGTACTATGTAGCAACGCAAAATTTAACTATTTCCAACATCTGCATTGGTCACAAAAAGTCGTTTCCGTTACGTGCAAAGAGAGACGATCGGTAGGGCACAAAACGACCGAAAAAGGGAACCACTGAACAATCTCACGATGCGTTTGGTGATGTTCATTTCGGGTGACTAGCAGAACAACAAGCAACAAGGCTTCAGAATGGAATTTTACAATACACTCAGGAGATGTGTCATGAACTTCTCAATGAATCCTATTGTACTCGAACCAAATCACAAAATGAAAGCCAAAATCGACGATTCTCGACTGCCTTTGCAGCTGCTGCTGCTATATAATCTATCTATCGCAAGGCTTTTATTTCTACCGCTGTTCTTAGTGGAGCTACCTTAATTACCTTATCTACAAAATGGGTATTCTTGGGGTCCTTTCATCTCAATGTTCTGTCATAGGCAGCATTGGTCTTGTGACACATGGTCCTCTGAACTGGTGTCGATGAATTAGATAACATCGATTTGCATCCCAAGCTCACTCTAATTCCTTAATGAAATCAGTATTATCCACAAACACCTGCAAATAAGGAACCACGAGATAGCAGTCTTAATACGGGAGCTGGATCTCAAGAAGCATAGTGAACTTTCAACTCGTCGAAACCACGTCAACACTATTTATGGTTCGCTGTGGCTGATTAAACCCTCTAGCTTAGTTTGGTTGATAATTGACCACATCCAGTACTTGAGAGTAAAAGATCAAGGTTCAGATAGCATACCGTCTTCCAACCATCAGGATCCAAGCAGGCAGTGATCTTGGTATTGATACCAGGCAAAGGTCCTGGTTCCCGAGTTATCTTCCCACCAAAGAGTTTAACTGCTTCTGCAGTCTTGTAAACATCATCCGTGCCTATAGCAATCTGTTATGGTAGAAGAAGATAAGCTCCCAGTCGCCCAATTAAAAGAGCTACTATCAAAACCAACTCCTGACAGACTTGTTAAGAATCAACATAGATAAAACAAGCTGTAGTGAAACAAGACATCACCTGAGCATAAGCATTTCCCTTCTCATACTCAGTGACTCCATAATTGTACGTCAACTCTAGCACTGTACTTTTATCTTCAGGTCCATAACCCATCATTGCGATAGTATACTGGTAACAGCAACGTACGACAAGTCAGCTTGCAGAATATTTTTAGAGGAGAACTGTAGTTCTTATTTACAATATCAAGAAGTAGTGTATACACAAATACACGACCCCAGTTACCCAGTCCGGCACATTACCAGTAGCTGCTAACTAGGCAATCAAGATGTCCTTAAATAGGAGACCTATCAAGGGCCCTCCTGGAAGACATCCAGATTCATGACAAAATGCACATTTACATAACTAGAACTGATGCACTGCAATGGCTTACTAAGTACTCACAAAAAAAGACGAATGCTATCAACATAAGAATTGCAGAAAGAAATGGCTCACAAGCTACTATGTGCCAGCATGCACAGATTATGCTATTTCTTCTTTTACATACATACTTCTCAACTTAGGCGAACAGGTCACACTAGCCCATTGTCTACCACTGATGAGAACAGGGGCTCCAATAATTGCCTTTAAATCCCAGAAACACAGATGGCTTCCTGCTTGGGTAAAATACCTGTCACTCATCAACCCTCCTCCATAACTAAGGTTCTGAACCATGATCCTTATAAAAAGAACTTCACTACCTATTGCAGAGAGGACTTGACAAGTTGACAAGTGCCCTGTCCCTCAAATACATAGCGAGCACAGAGATAACAAAAAGTTCTTTATGCATTCCTATCACAAAAGTCAGACAGTACGAAAGCTTTATTTTGATGGATTTCTCAACACTGTGAAGCTAGGTTATGAGGCGTGGAAAGTTTTATTTTGTTGCATATGTTGCTGTTGATCAAAGTGCTGTTTAATAGAGGTAGAAAACCCTGCTTATTCAGTTAACTGCCCTGTTTACCTTGTATTCGGGATTATCACGTTGGCGGAGAAGCTCCATGCCAAAAGCCTGTATACGAAGGATATTATCAACATTGAGCCACTTGACTAACAAGACCCAGATGCAAATTTGATACAACATTACTTGAAAGCATAAGAACACAAGCTAAGGGATGGTCCAGCTAAGGCAATTCTCACCTTTTCATAGAAATTTATGGAACGATCTAGATCACCAACGCGAAGCATCACCTGACAGAGAGGCTCTGGGGTAGGCCCTCTTTCCAAGAGTTCAAACTTATAACCATCAGGATCTTCGATAAATGCAATCACTGTACTGCCACCTTTCACGGGGCCTGGCTCCCTAGTTACTTTACCACCCTTAGCCTTTATGAGTTCCACAGTCTTGGCAACCTAGCCAAAGCAGAATATGCATGAGCATTCAACCACAAAAAGCCCAAAATTTATCTAAGCAATGCTGGACCGTAGTCTTAGGGCATTGAAATTTGTGGGCAGTGACGCTGAATGAAAGCATTTCAGAACCTAATGAAAGCTTACATCCTCTACAGCAATGCCAAAATGTCCAAATCCAGCCCCGATGTCATAATTGTCAATACCATAATCTGATAACATTAAACAAACAGCATGAACATCCATTATAAATTGCCAACAAAAGTCATCATTCAGGATCGTGGAGGTTAAATGAGTGAGAAATAATAACGATTACTGTATGTAAGCTCTATGACAAATTGAGAGTCTTCGGGTCCATATCCCAGAAATGCATTTGTGTATCTCTCCTCTGGAATGTCCCGCTTTCTAAGCAGCTTCATCCCCAAACACTCTGTGTAGAATCTGCAGTGAGCAAATAGTGTGTTTTGATAGAAAGTCAGTCATCATGAATACATTGCCAAACATAGAGCCTAAAATGATCTTGAAAGGATTGAGTTTCAAAAATATACTTTATGGTCCTATCCAAATCCCCAACACGATAAACAACATGTAGCATTCGACGCTTGTCCTGTTTAACCCACTCAAGTACATTTTCTGGGGTAGCAGTTGTGCTTGCTTGTGCCATATTGCCAGCTGCAGCAACCCTGATGCTGGTGCATTCTTGTCTCCATGGTTTAGAGGGTTTCAAGCCAAATAGCTCTGACTGTCGAATAGCTGCATCATGTATAACAGTTTCTAAGTCTGTGAATCTGTGTCATGCCATCATAGAACGAATTCCAGAAGCCTAGTATGAGATACTGATTTATTAAGACTGCATCATTCAACTTGACATGCCATTTATGCAACAAAATGAGAAAAGTGGTATCATAAAGAAACATAAAGCCTCTGAAGAAAACATATAAAGGTCAAACTGGTTGACCCACTCCATAGAGCTCCAGTTCCAACTTCAGTATCATAAAAACTAAAACCATTCCGGCAAACGTTAAGAACATTTTTTTACAACCGATGGCATGGGAGAAAGACCAAGCACGACTATATTCATCAATCTCTTCCACCAGTTTGCTCCTAAAACTACGCAGTAAACATACTACATACATACATTTGCATCTCTAGAAGCCCTTCACCAACACACAGATTTAACAACAATTCCTCCTCACATTTCCACAGTACAAATTCGAAACCATTTCACCTCAAGCTAAATAAACCTCCCCGGAGACGAGTCAAACTTCCTATTTCCACCTAATTCACCATTATTTGACACCCGATTTATTCGATTTCACACAATTCAAGCTGGGGAGATATGGAAAGCAAAGGAATCCGAAAGTGATGGGGGCAAGGAGTCAGAGCTGGGTTACCGCTGGAGAGGGAAGGCAATCGCTTGGAAGAAAGGGAGGCGAAGGAACTAAGAGAAGCGGCAGCGGCGGTGGAGGAGCGGGAAGCGGCGGTGCTGTTGCAGAGTCTGAAAGAGGAAGAGAGGGACGGACGGATTGAGGCGGCCATGGGAATAATCCGCACCATGTAGAAATCTTCGGAGAGAGGGGAAATCCAGAAAACCTTTCCGCAGAGTTTTCTCTCTTGGTTCTGTGGTGATGCTGTTGCTGAGGTTTCTCCCTTTCCTTTCCTTCCCTGTCCCTGTGTCGTTTTTCTCTGCAGGGAGAGAGATGAGACGGAGGAGGAGAAGATTGTGATAAGTTTTTTTTTTTTGGTAAATACCACTATAATACCCAAAATTTACGTAAGTGTCATCTAACACCTAAGTATCGTTTCCAATTGTATTACTAGCTCGGGTCCTCACGGACTAGCACGATACGATACGATTAAGAGAACGGACATGGACGCACGACAAAGTTTTTAAGTGAGTTTTGTCGAATCTGATATCTTTGAGATCTCATTGAGTATAAGCATGACACAATAAGGTTAAGGCACGACACAAGCATGAAATATTTGGACCAACTTGGCTGTACTTCAGGTCAGGGCCTTGCGAGGTGAGCATGGGCGTGAGCGCACAATAAGGTCTATAAGTGAGCTTTGAAGGTTGTAATATATGTGAGACTTTATTGAGTATAAGCACGATAGAGCACGGAAAAATATTTTTTTAATGAAAAATAAATATAAAAAGAATTATGATTTAATAATCACAAAATACAACCAAAGAAATAATAAGTTATTGTTGTTAGAAGTAAACATAAAAATCATATATGTAATTACTATTACAAATAAAAATAATCGAGTAATCATATATGTAATTACTATCACAAATAAAAATAATCGAATAATTAAAATGTACGTGAAGGTGAAATCACTTTGGTTATACTTTCAAACAAGTGACCTCCTGTTTGAAGACTAGTAGAGTAGTAGTAATAACACTAGGTCAAGTCCTTATTCATCTTCTTCCCCATATTTGTTATTTTTCCAGATTTTTATCAATTAATACTTTCATTCTTCACCCGATTTTCTCCTTCTTTTAGATTTATTTTTATCCTTTTCATTTACAATGAATATGATGAGCATGGTACGAACACGACCAGGCACGACATGACACAAAAACAGACAAGTCATGCCAAGCACAAAGAGATTAACAGACCTGAGAATAACCACTAAGTAATGAGGCATGTGAAAGAATTATCATCTCTGTTTCTGTTAGTAATTGGTATATGATTTAACATTGGACCTCTCATAATAATTCGAGTTATTGGCATAAAATAGTTATTGACAGTTACTTCATTCAGCTTCTCGAGTATGCCCAATTGATCGATGATGAGATTATGAGACATCGCGTTCTCGTAATAATAATGTGGCTTTTTAACTCAATGTAATATTTGGGCCAAAAAGGCTTGTTCGATTTCGGGAAAAAAGTGGCAATCGGGTGTGGATCTTTTGTGTTTGGACAAACTCATCATATCATTGGCTAATTTTAATATCGAGTCATATACTAATTTGAAGACTATCACTCAAACCAATTGATCACATTTCAACTATATGTGATCATCTCAATGCAACTCTACTATGCATTATGTTATATATGAACCAGTATAACTCGAATTATCGGGAGAAACTCGGTGTATATTAGTTCCGCATCTATATAACCTCACACTTGGTGTTACTAATTAAGTTAGGTGTCTTCTTCTTTTGGCTTTATGATAAAATTTGGGTTGCATTTCAAAGTTTCAAGTATATATTATGACTTAAACTTTTTCTTATAATCTTATCAGGAAAAATCCTTTTTTCAGACTATCCAACGTAGGATCACTATCGTGATAACATAAACTAATGACAGGAAGCAGGGAACAGACAAAGAACAAATCACATATAGAGCTTTAGTTAGCTGATGTGTTCATGAAAACAAGAACGCCTTATAATAACATGAACCATGGCGTCGTCTCTTTGGCTGCAAACACCAAAGGCACATCTATATAAATATAAATACTTGGGAGGTGGAGAAGGTATACTTTGCCTTCTTTGATGTGCTTCTTCTTCTTTGTTGTTCCAGACTTGACTTGCTATATAAAAAAATATATATATATGGTGAAAGGGTGACGTCTACCAAAATTTATTTGGATAGCAATTGAGCACAAGTTATACTATTATGATAGATCGTGATTCGGTTATTACGACTTTGCTCCTACATAAGGAAGCTAGAGAAATATAAGGGCGTCTCGACATTGGTTCATTATAATTTGCACACTTGTTATCCTCTCTCTCTATATATAAGGGACAACAACATTCCAATCTCTATCGGCTAGCTCGTGGAAAATATATATATCATTGTTGCATGTTGCTTCTGGCGCTAATTTGTGCTTTGGAAGTTGGAACATATATCCTGGTTGCGCGACGTGAGTCCAGCTTAACCCTCTGCACACACTTCAGTATCCGGCACCACACGCCACATTGAGCCCTTCCAAATATAGCTCCTCTCAACATTCAAATAGGCTAGGGTGATGGAGGAATGTCCCTCGTGTTTATTGTCAATGCTGCTGAGCAACGTTTTATATATAATCTCTTATTAGACCACCAGTTGCAACATGACCTGACATGTGATGATGAACATAGTCGTTTGAGTTGAGAGTGATTCACTCGAACAGAATACGATTACCCAGGTACTCCTCCTTTCTCAGGGGCAAACATGTACGATGAAACAAGCCAATTCTGGTCTAAGGTGATCCCTCACGATAAGTATCCAAAATCAGTGATCACCATCTTGCCTTGAAATATTCGATGTTGATGATTTTGTGCAACTAATAAACTAGTAGAATAACCAATATGCATCCAAATTAATTAATGTAACAAAATCTCTCAATATAGCTCACTAACAAACAAATAGGTTGAGATAAGAAAGGGAAAAAGTTGCATGGGCACTCTGAAACTTTTGGTCATACCGTCATAAATAGTTAACAACTTACATTGATAGAGATACATCATCTTCTTTGGTCTACCAAATTGACCCCAAAATACTTACTCTATCCAAAGTGATACAACGATTAGGCAACGGTGCAAATATGTACTTACAAAAACTATGACAACAACGTTAATTAAATTGAACCAAGTCTCCAAAGATCAAATCTCATGTCCGAGTCAATTCGAATTAACGTGCTTGCTGTAAGTACGTAATTATCACATCTTACTATTGAATGTAACGTGTATGACTATTCAAGAAAAATTAGGGTATATTTTGAAATTAACAGCAAAATCAGAAAGAAAAGGGAAACCGTTGACTATCTACACATCTAATGTCTCCGCCGCCGTCTTCCGCTTCTCCCTGTTGGCGAACCACTCCGCCGTTCTCCTCACGATCGGAATCCACGCCTGCCTCTGCCTCTCCTCCGCCGGCACCGGCCCCTCACCGGAATCCACACCCAAGCTCCTGAATCTCGAAACCCCCGTCAGCTCCGACACCGCTCGCCTGTCCGCCGGCGAGCCAACAATCCCCCTCGAGTAATTGACAGCATTAGCATCGGCCGGCAAGTAATTATTATTCCCGCTGCTCGATTCCGCCGGTTGGGTCCCGCTCGATTTATCCAGAGACGAGAATCTCTCGCCGGCGGCGTCGTTAAGCATCTCGGAGCTGAGAAACATCAGGTCCGATGATCCGACGCTGCTCCATCGATTCTTGAAAGCGAAATCGGAGACTATGATCCTGTGATTGAACTTATGGTACCCAATTTGAATTTCCCCCCTACCGCCATTTTCGCCGTCCCCTGTTTCTTCCAGAATCGGAGTCCGGTCTTCTTTCCGGCCGCTTTTACTCCCTGCCTTTCGGAAACTTCCTCCAATGCTGAATCTCGACGACGACCGCCTCCCGCTCTCCTCCCTCTGAACAAAAAGCCCCAATTCGTCCTCCGCCGCCGAAATTCCCCGGTGCTCTGCCTCCACCTCCCCTGCCTCCAAATCCTCCGGCAGTCGCCGCTCCGCCGACTGGCTCCACATCATCCGCGTGCTATTGGAGTACGCAAACACGGAGGGGTCCTCGGCGTTGACTCTCGATCGGCAGATCGGGCAGCTGGAGTGCTTCTCCAGCCACAGGTCGATGCAATTGATGTGGAAGGCGTGCTTGCACTGCGGCAGCAGCCGGAGGATCTCGACGTCCTCGAATTTGGATATGCAGACGGCGCACTCGAGGCCGTCCCTGTCGCCGCGGAGGGAGGAGAATCGGAAGAAGGGGAGGGATTCAATGACCGTCTTGTCGATCCCGGAGAATCGGGAAGCGGAGCGGGTTAGGCCCTGCTGGCGGAGCATCTCGGCGGCGGCGGCGGCGGCGGAGGAGCCGCGGTGGCAGAACTTGGCGTAGAGTAGGAGGACGAACGTGATGGCGAACATTATGCATAGGATTCCGATTACCACTGCCAGGCTCGGCTGGAAGTTGTTCAGCGATGGCGGTGTCGTCGGTGCGTACTCCTGGGTCGTCGTGTTCGGTTGCGCTGCCACGCCGCCGGCGAAGAGGAGGAGGAGGAGGGCGATGGGTGGAAGACGGCGGAGGGAATACATGTGGGGGGAAAAAAGAAGCTGGAGTCCACTCCAGCCTGAGTTGTTTTGGTCGGAAAAGGAAAGAAGAGGAAAAAGGCAATAACTTTGGAAGAGTATGATGGTGCCGGAATCGCCGCTGCTGTACTCCTTTTCCGGTGGGGATTTCTCCGGTAATGATGGCTGGTGTTTAGAATTAGAAGGGAGCAGAGGATGCTTATGAAAATTAGGTGGGTTTTTGGTTTTTATATGATTGTTTGCCGAAAATGTTGATTTGATTTTGTTGTTTTCAGGTCAAATCTAATCGGCTAGGATATAATTATTTTACTTTATAAATTATTTTAAATAGAGGTAAAATTGAATATAATTGAATTTGAACATAGATTTTTTTTATTTTTAGATAAAAATTATATATGTTTGTTTTTTCATTATAAGGTGTTACTTAAAGAATTTGAACTCTCAACCTTCCAGCAGTTTAAGACCAGTGAAAGTCTTTGTTCGCAAAAGAATCAATATGTCTCAAATAAATGAATAACTCAAGTGATTGGGAAATGTTTTATGAAATTTGTATAATTTTCTTACACACCCTGTCAAATGAAAAACAACTTATAAGAGCATCCACATCAATGATATATTTGATCAATTGCAAATTATCCTACATGACACTTAATATGCAATTGCAAAAGGGATTATAACAATGTAGTGAGCACTTGCAAAGATGCAAGCTTTGATCAAACTCAACTAACTATCGTGCAAAGTCGTATCTCTTTGGTTAATAAGATGCAAAAGGTTTATCGATCTCAAGAAGAGCCTCCTCCAACGCTCAAGTCAGAAATCTATGGAAGATAAAACTCAGATCATAGTATGACTCAAATACCATTTGTGGCTGGAGCATGGAGGTAGACCTAAAGAGATGCAGAGATATAGAAAATATGCACAAGGTGTTGCACTCTGCGGTTCTCTCCGAGGAAGTTTCGACTTACGAGGTGGTACCTAGGACATGTATACCCGGAGAAGGTAATTCCTTCACTACTTGAGAAACCATGCACACAAATGCGACATGATGCACGTCTAAAGTACCTATGAGCCCCTTCTCTATGGCAAACCTGTGTGCCAATGTATATTGTATATATGTAGGAGACAATGATGCACTTATTTAGGAATGTCAGGCACACATTCTGCACACGTGCAAGAGACATTTATAACTTGCGAATATGTTTAGTAGCGAGTCGTCGTAACAATATACAGTTCCAACTAAACAATCATTTTCCACTGTACGGCTAGCCATATGGTTTAAGAAAAACTAATTTAGCTTCTAGTTGTGTCCTTGATTGCCAAACCGGTCCATTTTCCAACAAATGTTTTAACATAAGGATACCCTAAACCTTGCTACAACTCCCGACTAGTAGGTCAAAATTCACACCATGATCGGGCCGGGCACCAATTAAGCGACCAACAGAATCCCGCCATTTACATGGGCTGTGTTAGTGGGCCGCAGAGGCCCATCACATGGTCACCACCGCGAGAGTCAACGGAAAATGTTATGGTGCCAATCCAAACTGAATCGTACATGTTTCGATTTCATGCATCCACTTAAACTCGGAAAAAAATATGATCAAATTGATATTCGAATCGCATCAAATACACTCGATCTGATTCCACTGAAGTTATATTTATTTTGAGCATGGAACTCACTGGATCTGTATTTAATAGTGAAAGAGATCTTTATGAAATCGATGATCTTTCATGTCATACGTTGCCTATCACGCTTAATCAAAATTAAGCACTTTTCAATTAAGACTTGACATAATCTCCTCTTCGATCTCTCCATTGAACGTTGAAGATTGTTTTTTAAATACAATAGGTTTTGAAGTGGGTGAATTTGGAAATAAGAAACCAGAATCTGTAGTTGGTAAGGCAAAGGGTAATGTGACATAAGGGAGCTTTTCTTGAAGGTAAATTTAACACCAATCTTGCAATTATGAAAAGTTGAATTTTTTTTCTCGATTTCGATATCTAACTTTCTTTCTATTGCATTTTATCTCGAAAGTGTGTAAACAATTAGAGGAAAACATTCTGCGTGAGCAAGGACATCTCATTCTGTGGTAATCGCCGATGGCCTTGCTTATGAATTGATAGGGTAATTTGAGTATATATTCTTTTTCCGATGAAGTGCTTCAAACAAAATATAATTCCCCTCGTTATATTTTCGTCAAAGGCTTCACTTTTTTTAATCCAAGTACATAAACATGGAAACTTAAGGGGTCGTTTGCTTGTGGGATTTGGGTGATGGATTTGGAACCCAAATCCCAAGCATCATGGAGTTGACACAAATCCTTTGTTTGTTGAGGGACACAAATCCGTGGGGTCCACGGATTTGGACCCCTTTTTTAGATCCAAATCCGTGGACCCCACGGATTTGTAAATCCCATATTTCATTTGGGATTTGACAATAGAAGGAAAAAATGTGAGACAAATCCATCACAAATCCATGATAAAAAATCAACTAAACAAACAATGTACTCTTCCAAATCCATGATGCAACAAATCCATCATAAATCCAAAGGTTTATAAAACTCAAAACCTTCATTTTCAAATCCAACAAGCAAACGAGCCCTATAAAGAAGGGTATCCACTTCAATCTCTCCTTTAAATGACAATTTTTGATATATCTAAAACCTATCACACACTTTCTTTTTGTCCAAATTCTAGTGGCAATATAAGATCATAGTTTTACCTCAATGAAGATTTTGTTATTCTCTCAATAAAAAGATTTCCCGTTATAATGTATCTGACACGATCATTTTTCGCTCCTCTCACAGTCCACCAGACAAAAGACAGACACGAGCAACTCTTGTTGAGATTTTAGTCTTGGAACGAGAGTTTATGTAAACCCAAAACTAGAAGATTAGAATTACGGTAGAGTCGTCGTAAACTACGTTCATTTTTAAGAAAAATATATTTACACCCTTTCACAAAGCCAACAATTGTAAAAATTTCAACCATAGTCAACATCATGCAATTCAACTACTCAAGTAGTCTTTTTCATATTCAATTGGCCATCAATTAAAAGAGTGTATATCAAAGCATGCTTCCTCTTGTAATCTATACCGTTGATTTCAACATTCAATTCAAGCTCGAAGAACAGTCCAAATCACCGCCTAAAATATAATATGTGGAATGCTATTAGCAACTCAAACGCAATTTAATATGAAAGGCCAATAGCCCAAGCAGTTGACATGATCGTCTAATCATCATTTTAGTTTAATAACAAAGTATGATTAGGAGACGCGACTACAGCTATAACCATCCAAGAGAAGAAGACCAAACTAGAGCTGTGAGGGAACCCTATACCATCGTAAGAGTATTCATAATAATTTGTTTCACCAAAAAAAAAAAAATAATAATAATAATTTGGTAAATCTTATAGTCAAACAAAGGTATTTGTAGTTTCGAAAGAGAACAAGGATCAATAATCAATAGGGCAATGCCAAGTTAAAACATTTGCAAGAAGGTACATGTAACATGGCTAGGAACCTCACATTTCGAGATCACGATAGCCGTGTATCGTATATAGACGTTTCTTTTAGAATCACGACTAATCCATAAGAAATACTTAAACTACATCCCTATCACGTAAATTCATTTATTTTCTTGTTCATCATCGACCTTAAATCTACACAATAAATAAAAGGCAAATGAGAAAACTTGAAGCTCCATTTCAAATTTCCTGCATCCAGAGTGAAAGTAGGAAGGACATTTTGGTCTTCACAATTACTTTTTTTTATTCATTAAAAAGGCACTTATTAGGATTCGAACCATGACCACTTTAATGAAAAGCAAAGATCACAATCAATCACACTAAGTACATTTGTTGTATTTTTTAAAATTAAAAATATATAATCGCAGAGAGGAAAAAACTCTTCCCCATTTTAAATTCCCTGCTCCATGAGCGTTTGTAGGAAGGGTAGACTAGGGAGTGTCAATGTTTTTCTTTTTTCCTCTGTGGAACAGGCCAACTTATCGACACATGTGGATTTAACGGGTCAGGAGTGTCAATTTTTTTTTAAGTCCTTTTATTTCTCCGTGGTGGTAAAATATATATGAAAAGGCAAAAACAATACTCCTTTTTATTGCTAAAAAGAAGAAATTTAACAATAAACTAATGCATGGATTCTAATGGGCTAACCGCTAATCATAAAATAAAAGAGTTGAATGGGCCTGACCTACACGGGATTTGCCCATCAAGTAAAACAAATGAACATCATGGGTTTGCCATTCTAAAACAAGCTATTTTCTCTAGCATAATATATATTATGCTATTATTTTATATCTTAGTGGCTAAAATATAATGTATTTTAAAGTTCTTCAATGGTTCAACCTCGACCAACCCAATTAGTTCAATTTTTATCATTTCAAATATATATTATGTAATTATTTGACATCATAATGATTAAATTATAGTGTATATTATAGGGAATCGTTTGGTATTTGTTAGTAAAAAACTAAACAGAAAGATCTATTTGGTTATTTTTAACATTAAAACGATCCTAAAATTTTTCAGTTTCCTTTCGAAATTCTATAGTTTTATTCCCGGATCAGTGATGTGCAAATGACGAATTGCACTCATCTCTTTTCTTTCATTATTTTTTATTTTCAAATAAAAAGTTTAAAAGTAAAGAATAATTAGAGTTTGGCATGGGTCGGTCAAACAGGCTGAATTTCAAGTTTTGGCCCGTTTTGATCAAGTCTAATTTATAATCACATGGTTCCCTGATACCCGATAAAAATCTCAATCCAAACCAATTTGGTAGGTGAGTCTGTGTTTACCACCATTTTCTAGGGATACAAGAACGGTGATTCCTATCCCAAATCGTGTTGTTCATTCTTGATTTCTTTAGATTTTATCATGGCTTGGCAAAAAAACCAGAAAGCACAATGATGACATTATGAAAGGTTTATAAAGCAAATTAATCGGCCAACGGGCCGAGTAAAAGCTAGCAACGATTGTGAGATGCTCATTTCCCGAAAACCGGCGGGATAGGCGATTTTTTATTCGATTTTCTGGAATTCGGTTTCTACAAAACTTACTCCACCTCATCATATTACCAGAAACAATATTGTTTCACAAGTTATCAGGTACTTGATTTTGGTTCATAAGGCTGATTTTTGATTCGTTGCCTCATTCATGTCTCTTTCCTACTAAAATTCACTATTTTTATCACGTGTTTCCCAAAAAAAAAACTATACAACAATAAGCTATACACCCCATTACATTATCAAATTTCATATCTCACCTTCCTCCGGCCAAATGGTCGTGGCCCACGCTAGTAATGAAATATAATAGGAGGAGACGAGCAACCATTTTTTAGGGTCGATGACACACACGCCGAGCAGAAAGTCAACGGACATCGACAAAACAAGCTCAAGTTTGTTTGTACGTGTTCTTCTTCCTTGTCTTTCAAGGACAAAACCAGACATCAAAACAAGAGAACCAAAAATTTCCCGCAAATTTTGTTTCTTGCTTTCGAAAATGAGACAGCAATTTCTTATTTCCATTCTCGGAAAAATGTCAACCAAAGAGCAGCCATTATTGAAAGGGGGGGATCAATCAATGCTGCTACCTTTCCCAAATACGACACTAATGGTTTTCTTGTTTAGTCACATCGAAAGAAACAAGACACTAACTTGTAATTACCAGAACATATGCAAGACAGTAGTAACCTTAAACTCACTGTACATGTTCATAACGTAAGCTGTGGAACAAGACTTACCAGCATGGTTATGGCGGATCCCGTCTTCTCCTGCTCAATCCTGCAACGAAATGGAAACACAGGTGCTGCTAACAGCCATTTGCCATAACCTGTGACGACATGGCAATCATGCTTTCAAGTTTTCCATCCTCCCATCAACCATAGTCACGACGACATTGTACCCATGTTGATTATTGAACAACACGAACCCGCAAGAGAGAGTAACACACAGATGAATATCATCACAACAACAATATCGACACCACGACAATTCCAACAACATAGCAAGCAACAAGAAGCGAAGGAGAGAACAAAAAAATGGAGTGTGGATTCTCTAACAGTATACAAAAGCTGGTCGCTTAAACTGATAGCCTAGCGTCTACTTGTATGTGGTAACAACTGCGTAGTTCAAACACCTCTCAACTATGAGCAGATGCAGATGGGTTATTGGTACCTGGAAACGCTGCCGCTAACCCACCGTTGTTACCTTCTCCCGTGGAGGCGTTCTCGTCGCTTGCATGCCGGATGAATTCCTCGGGGGACATGTGTGTACCGTGGCAAGCGCAAACGATCCTTATCTGGCTGGGGCTAAACCTGTAAGTCACGCCTGATATCGTCCGACCATTTGGGCCTGGAGCCTTGGTGGAAACCCACGGCAGGTTTGGGTAGGATCCGGAGCCTCCAAACTTGACCTCGGGAGAAATTCCCGGCTTTATGGCCGAGAAGTCGTGAGACAACCCGTCTTCTGGTGCTGCTCGACGGTTTGTTTTGCTGCTGCTCTTTCCTTCATCTTCGGCCTGAGAGGAAGAGCCTTCTTGTTCTGCACCATGTTGTTTGCCACCATCAGCTTTGGGCCGATCAAACACTCTTGCATCATATGGTGCAGCCTCGGAGGAGTTTCGACCAATTATTTGCATGGCTGCAAGTTTAAACAATGGAGTCAGCAACAGCCGGTTGCATGGCTGTAAGAGCATGGATCATGTCTTCTTGATTTGTCTGATCTCACTTGACCAGTATGTCTTGTTCGGAGATCTATTATTGCAGAGAGAACTAAACTAACAGAAGAAAGAAGAAAAAAAAGTACCTTGAGAAATTCTGAGTCCTTCATGATTTTTATTATCCAAGGTTGCAGGTGGTTTGGCTCCATAAGGAGGCTGGAAGTGTTGATGCTGAGAAATCAGGCCCCACGAATTATCTTTGTCCAGAGTTGGAAGCTGGACAGGTGAGTAGCCAAAAGCTATTGATGAAGTACCTGGATTCACTTTGTGGACCGCCATTCGCTGGTCACCATTTGAAGTAGAAACTACCGGCGTCATGCTTGCACCAACTGGGTTGGAATCTTCCACTGAATATTGGTAGGACATGCTCATGATGTTTGCTGGTTGGACCGAAAATGGGACCCCAAAATTCATCCCGTGTTTAGATCCATTTTCCGGCAAACCAGCAGGCCTTCTTTGACCATGCAACTCCGTCATACTTGCATCAGGAAACCTTTGAAATTCCTTTGGAGCCTCCAGACCACCAACTCCAACAAACCGCTGCTTGGAGCCCTCCTCAATAAACCTCGAGGTCGAACCTTCTACTTCCGAATCTGCAACATCTTCATTTTCAGCAGTGGATCCTTCTTCCGTTAGAGAAACATGAGATGTTCTCTTGTCATGAAAATCTATCCGGTTAGCATCTCTATCTGGCTTCTTCTGAGCGCTTATGTCCTCAAAATCTAGTTTACGTTTGTTAGCAATCCCTTCACTCCTTTTCTCCTCTTCAATTTCTGTGTATCTATTATTACTAGATCCTGCCCAAAGACCCCTAGCACCAAGGCTTTTGGATGCATCAGTATCAGCATTTCTACTTGTTAGGTCAAGGAAGAAGTTCTCCTGTGGCTTTATCGAATCGTTCCACTGAGAATGAGATCCAGCGCTTGAATCTTGCTTCTGAGAGCTACCACCAAGAACTTTCAAATCATCTTTCTGTTTGTTTGCTTTCTCGTCTTCTATCCTAATATCCAGGGAGCTTTCATTTTTACTCTTAGATTTGGACGAGGATCCACCAAAACCTAGACCCAAGCTTAGCTCAAGGCCGTTCTCGTCCTCCATGTTCTGGATATCAAATATGCCACCTCTCACTGCAGGATAGTACAAAAACTGTCCCGCTTTTCACTTCGGATGATGATTATTGAAACAAACAGCACTTGTCACATTAGACATCAGCAAAAGAAAGCAATTGTGTCCAAACAACCTGTGAGCACAAACTTGATATCATGAAAAATGAACAAGCCTGACAAAGACAAAACTCGATTCAAACATAAACTATAAGAAAACTTATTGATGCCAAGCATAGTAGCCATTTGGAAGACTTACAATCTAGTTCAGAGTAAATTACTCATACCTCCAGAAAATTACTGAACTAGTAAGGTAAAATAAGTAATAACACTAACAGGTACATCTTCCTCATCAAATCCGAATCAAGTAGGAGAACTGAAAGGCTCATTTTCGTTAATTCATTCACAGTGCTTGCAATATCATCAGACATGTTCACAAGGTGGTACATACTACAAACACAACAAAGCACAAGACAACTTAGGTAGATAAAAACAAGGATTCAACATACATTTAGATTGAATAATGCAATATTCAAGCAATTTAACAAATCAAACAAACCACACCACATTTCAAAAATCAGCTCTTTCCCACGAAACTTCTGCGGCTCTTTACTCAGATCTAAGCCCCAAGCCACAGAGAGACACATTAATGTAGCCAAGAACAGTGTTCCTTCCAATTTACTACAATCACAACTCAAAGTTCAGAACATGACAAGAGAAAGAACAAAAAGGAAGAAGAGTTGAACAAAACCACAACGACGGAATCAATAGCTCAAATCGAGTGCCAAGGAACTGTATATTGCTCAGTTCTTCTGGGGAAGAAAGAAACCAGATTTCACCAGAAATTTAACATAAACAAATAATTGAACAGTCAGCAGCACCCAGAAATTCATTTTACAATATCTTCTTCCTCCGCACAAATTTCTTTATAAGCAACTAAACCAAGAACAACCCAGATCTGCCCCTCAACAATACCATGCACGCAAATCCTCAAACTTTCGAGGAAATTAAGAGCAACCCACTGTAGCTCGACAGCGCCAAACCGCAAAACAATAATGGATTCAGACAACTAAGGCTCAAATCATCATTCTCATCAAATTGATTCAACCCCAGAGACCAAAACATCATGACACAGCCAGGAATAGTAAGGATTAAATTGAGGAAAGACCAAAAAGGATTGAGAAATCCAGGAAGCTATCAGAAAATCTACCAAAAGGGTTAGCAGAGAAACGGAAGGAGAAGAAGAGGGAGAGTGGAGAGAGAAGGGTACCTGCATCAAGGAAGGACAAAAGCAGAGAATCAAATCAGAGCTCGGCCCCTTTTGAGCAGAGCAAAGCACTGTGAATGTGATATAGAGAGAGGGGAGGCGAAGGCAAAACAACGGAGGAGGTGGGGCTGTGGGAGAGGGAGAGGACAAAAATGGTAGAAACGAACTGGATTTTTTTCTTTTTTTCTTTTGCATAAAATGAATTTTTTTCAGCATGTGAAGGTCGTGTTCATTCCGCCTCCTCGTCTAAAAGAAAAAAGAGCTACGGTGATTATTAAAATAGTTAAACGAATACTAAATTAGAGGTAGATTATGGATTTTATAGTGTGATTGAATTCGAGGGTTGGATTGGTGCATCTAAATAAACAGTACCGAATTTTTGGATTGATTTGAAAATTTTTAAAAATTTGGATACTAAAAGTATCATATTATGGCAAATACAATTTTAGAAGTATGTTTTTATTAAAAGATAAATTCGATATCAAAATGTACAATATAAAATGCATAGGTATTAACTTATTTTATTATCTTAACAAAAAAATCATGCATTGTATATGGATCTAAATTAATTGGATTATGTGAATAATTTAGAGAATGGATTGGTGGATTTGAAGCGTCGTTTGCTTGTTGGATTTGAAAATGAGGGGTTAAAGTTTTTAAATTTGTTAGATTTATGATAGATTTGTTGCATTATGAATTTGTAAGGGTATGATTTGTCTGCATGTATATGTTACCAGAACGGAGGATGATTGTCTCATTAACGTTTTCAAGGTCGATTTCGGAGGTGAAACCATTATCAAATGTGAACTTACCGAAAACTTACATAATCTCAAACTGAAATGTGATTCGTATTGGTAATTCTGAAGACGGACTCCACTACCCAACCTTAAACAAATCAATTGGAATGAAGTTGTATTTTTGTTGGAAGATTTAAGTTTGGATGGGAATCTCCTGCCTCCTCCACCATAGATTTGTTTTTAATACATTTTCTTGGTCTCGTCAGTTTTTCTATAGTTCTCTCCTCTCCAGCTGGGATATGGGAAATTATATAAAGCTTTTCTAATCATAATTTCCAATTTATTAGTAGTGAAAGCTACGTTTGTAATTATTAAGAAAAAAGCCAGACAAAACCATTCATCACAACACCAATAATATATGTTTGTTTTCTTGCTTAATCTCTTACTTGGAAAGTGACTGATGGGAATTTGGCTTCGAATTGAGGGTGTTATTAATAATTAATTTAATTTGATTTTGTCTTGGTACGTTCATCACCAAGATCCTAAAACCAGGAAAATGCTGCCGCATATTTGGAGCCATCTTCAAGTTCACCGGTGGTGTGGCCTTTCCCTTCTTAAATCTTCTCTTGTTCATGAATTCTTTCGAACTTTGAATTAGTCGAACCATGGTAGTAAAGATAAGAATTACTAGATCATATCGATGATCTCCAACATTATAGGAGATATCATAGTTTAGGTAATTAGTTTTAAGTATCGTGTCCGTGTTAGAAAAAGTAAGGGAAAAAACATGTCACTTAATCACTCTTCGTATGGTATGGTGTTATTTGCTCTCTTGGCAATTCACTAGGATCTAACCTTTTACTGGTCGTCTTCAAACTTAGACTAGCCAGTCATGTACCTGTTGAGAAGCAAACACAAGATAGAGGAGAGTAAGGAGCGTAACACGTACACAAGGTTTTTTGTTAAACGAGTTCAGCATATTGCTTACGTCTCCGCTCAAAGGTGGCTCACCCTTTGAGACATAGCTAGAGTCTTCTTATTCCGATCTAACTCCAAGTTGAGTTCCTTTGGGTGGAACTCCAACCCTTGACAAGAATAGAGCAATATACCTCTTTCTCTTTTTCTCATAAACACTCGAGCAATACAGACACTACACACCGATAACTTCTTACACCTATTGCTAATCACAGAGAGTTTGATCTTGTTTTGTGTAAGATTGCTTTGTCACATTCGTGAGTCTCGTCTTGTTTCTTCCTTCTATTTATACTCCATCTTGGTGCAACAATCTTTCACTTGATCTTCCTTTAATTTGGGAGATTCTTTCATGTAATCATACATTAACAAATATGACAAGTAATAATTTATTTATTTTACATTTTCGGAAAGAGAAAGTTTTCCCTCAACAATCTTCCCCTGCTTTTCTTTTATGCAATTTCATGTCTTTCTCCCATCACTCAACCGATTTGATCACTCATGAGTTGTTGAGGTTTGTGCCTTCAAAATGATTCTCATAGTCATAGGGTGAAAACTGAAGTGAGTCTAGATCTCTTCTATTGGCAAGATAGGCTGGATCATCGAACTAGGGTGAATCTGGATCACTCTTTTTGGGAAGAGAGGCCGACTCAGTGATTAGTGGTGAATCGGGATCGCTCCTATTAGCAAGAGAGGCTTGCTCACTGTGATCCTATGACTCTAACTCAATGTCGATGCTTAGCCAGACTACTTCAGGATCATATTCTTCAAGAGAATCATCCTCGCCCTCAACTGCAAGCTCTAATTCTGGGAGAACATCGTTTGCGGTGAGAAACAAAATGGGCGTGATGATTCGAAAGGCTAAGAGATTGATCCCAAGGTTGACTTGGAGACAAGTTGTCAGGGGTCCAAAGGGTAGTGAGACATGATAGTTGAAGTCATCAAAGGGCGCCAGGGTTCTGACAAAAAGATGAGTAAAATCAAGAGGAATGCCAACATGAGAGAGAATCTAGAGAACAAAATGTAGGATCATATCCGGAAAGAGCACTCCGGGGAAGAATGTCCAAGTGAGGAAGTAATGGAATACCCTTAGATATGGTGGGAGAGTGGCAACTAGAATCATGAGAAGCTCACCAGGAGGATGCCTGGTAAGCTGAACGACCTCATGGTCGATGTCAAAGCGATAGGCTTCCAGCTCAGAGTCATGGGCAAAGGAATATCCTCCTTCTGGAGCGTTGAGAATGTGATGGAGCTCAACGACTGGGATGGTGATCATATGGCAAAACACAATAGTTATGAAAGTACGAATATGAAGGCCAAAATTTCAAAGATTTAAATAGAAATACCTCACTATTTCAGGGTATATTGGAGTGGGAGATTCAAGAAGGAAGTTCCAACCAATATTGTGAAGATTGAGTTGGAAATAGACTTCATGGTTGATAAAGTCAGAAAAGGGTATTGATAGTAGGGAGTGATTTCACAATTGGAGTAAGCTTGATCATGGCGATGAGAGTTCAAAGGAATGGGATCCAATAGGAGAGCTCCCGTGAACGGTTGGCAATATCATGATGATGAAATGGGGTGGTGATGAGCCCTAACTTGGATTCGAAGAGGTTTAAGTAGAGAGACCTTACGAAAATGCAAACTTAATGTTGACTCTAAGAATCGTGCATAAAGAGGAAGGATGCATCAGTCATGGACTTAGAGAAGGAAAGATTTTGATTGCTCTGGCATCATTTTTAGGAAAAAGGTGAATCCATTAGTGATCGATTGATGATAAGAAATATTACATGGATTGTTTACATGATGTGACAGAAACTATCACTCAAAATGAGTGATGTGTTATATCTCAACTTTGAACTGTGATTGCTGAGATTGTTATATTGAGAAAGATATATTATTTAGAATATTAAATATACCGGGAAAGTAATTATATGTGTGTGGGCGGGTACCCATGGGGCGAGTTTACCTAAACCCAACCCGACCCAGTGAATAGTGTAGCGGGTTTAAATCTGAACCCGGCCCAAAACTCGTCAACACGGATTTTACCCACATTGACCGGGTTAAATCGGGTGGGTACCCGTGGGTTCGAGTTTTATTGCCATCCCTATGTGCAACAATCACAACTTCCAAACCACCCCTTAATCTTCATTTATGCAGGCCTGCCAACCGTTTAAAGCCTCTTACAAATAGGGCCCAGCCCAACATATGGAACACAGAAAACGTACCCGTCGGTCCACTGGAAGGGAAGCCTTCTTCTTCTCCAAGAAAGAGATCAGAGCTACTTGAAATAAAGAAAAAGAAAGTAATCAAACACTGAGAAAGAAACCCAAGCGAGTTTAGGAAGATCCCTCCGGCGAATAACCATCTCAAGGAGCAATTCTTTACTCTTCGTCTCTCGTCGCCGGGAAAGCGTATCGGAGGTGAGTTGTTGCGGGCTCAGCTCTTCGTTGTTCCGTTGGTGCAATTTGACGGGATTGTTTTGCTCTCTGCGATTTAGGGTTTTAATTCTCTGATGAATCTTGTGTAGTTGTTTGGCAAATGGGTGACTCGCAGTACTCGTTTTCTCTCACCACTTTCAGGTGAGCGATTCAATCGCCTTTCTTGAGAGTTCATTTGTTCTTGGTTTTGAGTTTTGCTTAATGATTTGTTTGATTTTCTCAATTCGGGCAGTCCTTCCGGCAAGCTCGTTCAGATCGAGCACGCCTTGACGGCCGTGGGCTCTGGCCAAACCTCTCTCGGAATCAAAGGTTCGGCTTCACTTAGTTCCTCAAATGTATAATCACAAAAACCAGCTGAAGTCTGCAACTTCAGTTGAGCCCAGTACATAAATTAGGTTTCTTTTAGTTCTAAATTCTATAATTCCTATATTTTCCAATTGGTTTGAATTGCCGGATTATTTGTACAGCTTCTAATGGGGTTGTTATTGCGACCGAGAAGAAGCTACCTTCCATACTGGTTGACGAAGCATCAGTAAGTACTTAATTTGGTTCTTCCCAGGCTATTTTAGTAGTATGTCTTTAGAAATTATACATACAAAAATGTGTCCCAAACGACTGTAATGCTGTATTGTACAGCTCTGAGTCTCATCGGTTTCGGTATTCGATTGATTCTGGTCCTTATATCCAGGCCATTATCTGCCTGCCCTAATTACTCTGCATTTGTTTCAGGTCCAGAAGATACAGTCACTAACCCCAAATATTGGAGTTGTATACAGGTTTGCTTTCTTCCCACTTCTTTGTGAATAAGTAGAGGCTAATCTGGTTAGCTTATTGTATGCCGAGGATGATTAAATTTATAAAATGCTGGTGCTTTCCATTCTTTAGATTACCTAGTCTTGAAATTTTAGCCGCAGAAGTTAATGGACTTTTATAGTAATTCTGTTTCACTCTTGCTATAGTCTCTCGACAATCTTGTTTCCTCTGCAGTGGCATGGGTCCTGATTTTCGAGTTTTGGTTCGGAAAAGCAGGAAGCAGGCTGAACAATATCACATGTTATACAAG